AAAAAAAAAAGAAAGAATGACGAGTTGATTTTTCTTACCAGAATTGTGAGATATAATCTCGGAATTGCAAGAAAAAAGTCAAAATTTTGAAATATAAACTCAAAATGACATTTTTATTATTTTATTCCATGGCTTGAATAGACTGCTGCGTTAAAACGGTCATTTTCTGCCACCAGATAGGCTCCGCCCACAAAAAATGTCATCACCGTTTGCAAACACTGAAATTGGGCTATAGCTGTTTTTGCACTTTAGTTTCAGTGAATGCTCTGCTTGGATTGAGTTCTGAAAGTTTGAGCACATCTGCATAGTACATCAAACTCCTACTTCAAAAGAGCAATCAAAATCCTGTTTTCCACTGCATGACCTCTTCAAAGCCGAAGTCATGCTTTATCATTCCGCTTTTGTCTCCTCTCAGCTCTCCGCACAGACGGCCCTCGAGGAGAGCGAGCGCATCTTCACAGAGCTGGTGTGCTCCATTGAGCGCCGGCGCGCTGAAGTGACGGAGCTGATCCGGGGTCAGGAGAGGGCGGCAGTGAGCCAAGCTGAAGCACTCCTTCAACAACTGGAGCAGGAGATAACAGAGCTGAAGAAAAGACACGCTGAATTAGGAGAGCTCTCGCAGACCGAGGACCATATCGCCTTCCTTCAGGTAATGCCGCTGGTCGTTCACAAATTGCTTGTCTCTGGAGTATCCTGAGGTTAAGTGCCTTGATTAAGGACACAGTGGTGATTAGTTTATGAAGCACATTTTCTGTGGTTTGAATATAATCAGTGTTTTGGCGAGCAGCCCATATCTTTGACCACTAAGAAGCATTCACTCCATTGTAAAATTTTATTGAGAGTTCAGTTTCCACGTTTGTAGTAATAGTTCACCAAAAGATGAAAAGTGTCAATATTTCCTCACCTTCATGTTGTTTCAAACCTGTATGACTTTATTACTTGATGCACAAAAGAAAGCGATCTTTTTGTAAAACACAAAAGATATTTTGCCAAATTTCTGCACTGCTTTTTTTAGATCAAGAAAGCATATAGCAACCAGAAAGAAAAAATGAGACAAAAATATATTTTTGTTGTTATTATTATTATTATTATTAATATTATTGCATAAACATAAAAAGCTCAGAAATGTAAAAAATAGTCAAAATTGTGTGATATAAATTCACAATTTTGAGAAAAAAAATCTAAATTGTGAGATATAACTCAAAATTGCGAAATATAAACTCAGAATCGCAAGAAATAAAATCAGAATTGTTTTTTCTTTCATTTCTGAGTTTTTTTTTATGTTTTTGCAATAATATTAATAATAATAACAAAAAAATATTTTTCTATCACTGTTACTATACTGCTATATGCTTTCTTGATATAAAAAATCAGTGCAGAAATTTAGCAAAATATCATCTTTTGTGTTTTACAAAAAGATCTTTTTCTTTTGTGCATCAAGAAATAAAGCCATTATGTGTTTTAAACACAAAATGAAAAAAAAAAAAACTCTGAACTACAAGATGTTAAATCAAAGTTGCAAGTTATAAACTTAGATTTGCAAGAAATAAAGTCTGAATTGTGTGTTATAAACTCACAATTCCGAGAAAAAAAGTCTGAATTGCGAGATATGACTCAATATTGTGAGATTTAAACTCAGAATTAAGAGACAAAGTCAGAATTGTGAATTATGAACTCATAATTGTCAGGAAAAAAGTCTGAACTGTAAGATATTACCACAACATTGTGAGATATTAACTCAGAATTTCAAGGAATAAAGTCAGAGTTGTGTGTTTTGAACTCCGAACTACAAGATGTTAACTTAAAATTGCAAGTTATAAACTCAGATTGGCAAGAAATAAAGTCTGAATTGTGTGTTATGAGCTTGCAATTCTAAGGAAAAGATGGATTGCAATATATAAACTCCATGGCAGGAACAAGCTCCTTTGCTTATTGTATTGAGTATTGGTCACATTTGACCTACATTTTTCCTACAGATGTGAGCGTATGCTAAAGAAAGGCTTTTAGCAGACCTGAGATCTGAACCCACATTTGTCCTTTGGACCGTTTGGTCATCCTGCTCTTTATTGAGTTTCACACGGTGAACTTTGATTCAAAACATCAAAGGACTCCAAGAGAGACTCGGAAATGAGATTGCAGCAGTTTGTGTTTTACTCTGCCTTTGTGAACTGAAACCAGTATCAGGAGTTGCATACCGTTTTTGATTGATTAAAGTTTCAAGTCAGACCACTGCCTACAGCTAACATACTTGCCATTTGATAATTCTGTCTTGTTCAGAACTGCAGGTCTCTGTGTGCTCAGCCTGTGGCTGTTGACTTGCCAAACATTACCTCTGACCCAAACTTTGGGAGCATGATGACGGCACTAACAGAGTTCCAGGCTCTCCTCGAGGACGTCTGCCAGGGAGCATTGGTCAATATCTCAGAGAAAGGTGAACAGACTTGCATTCTGAGACTTTTCAAGCCATTAAGGACTAAGTCAGTATTTCATTGTATTGTGAAATCACTCGGAGTACTTGGTCTAACCGTCCCGTTCTGGTTTGCAGTGAATGACGTTACTATTATTCAGAGCACCAAACCAAAGACAGATTCAGATTCTAATGCAGGTAGGAGTCCATCCAATTAAAAATGCATTAAATTAAGTCTTGCATGTACAAACCTAGGGAGCATTTTTGAACCACCATTTTTGGTTCCACGAAGAACCTTTCAGCGATCAGTTCTTAAAAGAGCCATTATTGTCTTAGTTTTTTTATATTTGTGATGCTGTTTTAGTTCACCAAAACAAGGTGTCATAATTGCCTACATTCTGGAGCCATTTAATCTCGAGCGCACTTACGGTACATTACCGTTCAAATGTTTTGGGTCTGTAATTTTTTTTAAAGTTTTTCAAATAAGTCTATTTTGCTCACCAAGGCTGCATTTATTTGATCGAAAATACAGTAAAACTGGTAATTTTGTGAAACATTATTGCAATTTAAAATAACTGTTTTCTGCTTTAATATATTTTAAAATGTAATTTATTCCTGTGATCAAAGCTGAATTTTCAGCATCATTACTCCAGTCTTCAGTGTCACATGATCCTTCAGAAATCATTCTAATATGATGATTTGCTGCTCAAGAAACATTTCTGATTATTATCAATGTTGAAAACAATTGTGCTGCTTCACATTTTTTCAGGATTCTTTGAGAAATAGAAAGCGCTTAAGAACAATTATTTAAAAATATATTTTTGTACCAATGTAAAAGGCTTTTCAAATTTTTTTGTATCAGTTTAAAGTATCTTTGCGGGATGAAAGTATGGATTTTTTTTTATTATATAAGCCTAAACTTTTGAACAGTAGTGTGCAGTATGTTGCTTAAAATGCTCACTAAGTTTGGAACAAGTATAAGTCTTATACTCAAAATATGTACATGATATTTCATTTTAATCTAATAAAATGTTAATACTTCATTTATTTTTTTTTTCAATTACATGTGAAGAAGCTTGCAGTGCTAATAGGATTAATTGTTTATTTCATAGCTTCAGCACCGGTCTTTGTACAGAGTCCTTTTACCATTAGCGTCCCGACAATTAGTGTGTTTCCATTCTCGTCTTTTGGTGAGTATCAGGAAAAGCTTTTATTGTACACTTTAAAAAAAAAAAAGTCAGTAAAAATACGGCCCACGGTTCTGTTAATATTAATGAATTTTCCATATTGATTTTTTACAGGTGTATTTTAAAAAATAATAATAATAATTTTAATGCATTGTGTAGTGTTTTAGGGTCAAATGAAATATCTGTAAATATAGCAGACAATGTACTTGTAATTTAGTGTAGAATGTTGACCATCTCTGAGCCCTTTGTTTTTGCATACATCTGTGCTCTTCAGGATCCAGAACAGCAGGTCCTCGTCAGAGACTGCAGCCACATAGGAGACGAAGATAGCCTTAAGAACGGCCTGAGAAACGCCTGATCAGAACTCAGTCAAGAGGCCAAAGTCAGTTTGTGGTAGTTTTTTGGAGCATGTACATTTTCAAAAAAAAAGTAAAGCTATATTAACCACAAACTCTTACTAAATAAGACCTAAATGTAAATGCAGATGCGTTTGTCTACTGTCCAAGTCTCAATGGTATTAACTTTAAACTTATGTTAATCTGTATATTTTACAATTACAGATGTGTTTGGAGTGAAAGTTGCAATATTGTGTGATCAAAACTTTTAAAAATAATTATACACATTATATAGTGTTATACTGGTGTAAATTATACTAATGATTTATTCACTGATGCTGTCTATCTATTCACAGATGTTCATTTTAGCTTTATACTGGATGTTTGAAATGTATTTGTGTGTATTAAACATTGTTTAAATGGCAAGAATTTTTAAAAATAGGATGTTAAATACTTATTTTTCATATCATGAAAGGCTCTGGTAATTTACTGTCGCCAAAAAAAAAAAAAAAAAAGATTGAATCGTGTGTGTTTTCCTTTAAAGTGTGACAATTGAACCCGAGACAATGTCAATAATAGTTTTTAACATCTCTTTATTTTGGAAGCCCATTTCTGGCACATAAAAAGTCTTGATAATTATAAGTTGAAGGTATGATTAAAAAAAAATCATAATTACACATAAAACATTAACTATTACATTTTAAAACTTTTTATCTCATAATTATTCAACTGTATCTTATATTTAGAATTGCCGTAATTATAATTGTCATGATTTTGACTGTCTCATAATTATGACTTAGTATTTCATGATTTGTCAATTATAACTTGTCACAATTTTGACTTTTTATCTCACAATTATGACTTTAGAATTTCAGAATTTACTTAGTATTGAATATTTACATATTGACTTTATAATTATAACTTTTACTTTTTATGTCTGAAGAGCTGACTCTCAATTTGGACTTTATCTCATAATTATGTGTCATATTTTTGACAAATATAACTTTTTGTCATTTCAGCTTTTCATCATCATGATTATTAAAGCATTTTTTTTTTCGTTTTGTGGCAGAATTGGGTGTCCATATGTTCCTGATTATTTGAGCAACTAAAAAGAATTTCCCAGAAACAATTATCTGGATCAGCACAGATTTGCATAAAATCCTCATGAAAGGCAAAATCAATCTGCACAGGAAAAATAAATACTCTGCCTGTAATTCTGAGTGTGGGTTGTATAATCAGTCATGTGATATTTATAGTTGCTTTAGAGTAAACAAAACGGTTTAGTAAACTAATATGTAAAACATGGCAGTCATCTCTGTATAGATGTAAAACGTCAAACTTTATTTACTCAACTTATACATAATACTTATGTTTAAATGCTTGAAGTTTTGGGGACAAATCTAAAGTTGTGAAGCTGGCCTTCATGCCATTAAAAACCAATTAAGTGCTGTGAAGAACAAACACAGTAGAAGTTTATTAAGAGTTACCATGCGATATGACCTGTGGCCTCAATCTTAAAAAAAATACTCTTCTGATTAATCATTGAAAAAGATTCACAAACTCACAAAGGATTTAACAATTTGAATCAATCTCACGAATCCTTCACCGAATGAACTCACGCAACTCATCAGAACAGCTACTGAATCAACATATGACTCACTTACTGAACTATAAGATACATGTTTACGCATCATTTAATATAAAAATATGTTTTTATTTGCTGTACAACCAAGAAAGCACTTTTTATTAAATAATTGACTTACTATCTAATATTTTCATCTACATATATGCAGACGTGAAGTTTGACTTTTTATCTCATACAGTCATTTTGACTTAGTATCTCATATTTGGACTTTTTATCTCATAATTATGACGGCGTCTCATAATTTAGACTTTTCATTTCATATTCTTCTATTCGTCTTCATATAGACTTTTTACATCGTAATGTCTTAAAGGCACAATATGTAAGATTTTTTTATCAAAATATCCAAAAACCATTAGAACAGTGTTATATATTTTGCTGACTTGTGTACTTACATTATCCCAAATGTTTCGAAGAATGTTTAAATCCAGAGAAATAAGCAGTTTTAACTAGTAACGCGGACCGTGTCCATAGTGTCGCCTGCCAATGACGTCATAACCCCTCGATTTCTGTTTTTTTGATTTGTAGAAAACATGGAAACACCAAAGACGCTTTAATATGTTGTGCGTTTTAATAGACCGGTGACGACCGCACAGAGTAGCATAATAACAGAACTTTCAAATGTATCTAGTATGATAAAACAGCGCTGCTTTACCCCACATACGCACGACCGGAAGCAGCGGAAGCGCTCGACTGTGGCATAATAAAAGCTCCGCTGCTTTACCCCACATACACACAACCGGAAGCACCGGAAGCGTTGAATACGCGCCCTCTAGCGGCGAAAATTACATATTGTGCCTATGAATAGATAATAAATGAAACTTCGTGACTTTCGTGGCACTTGCTATGTGAACACAAAACAAATATGGGACATGACTGGAATAGGCAAAATGGTCTTAAAATAAGTCACATTTGCAGTCTAAAAAGCCTGCCATATGAATATAAAATGTTTAAATAATGAGAAACAATAGCAATTGAAAGCAGAGACTTACCTTGTTCTTTTAGTGCTTAAAACTCACAATGTGTTTCTCAAAATGATGGAGCAGATCACATATCATGTAGGAAGTAGCAGGTGCGTGATCTTGCTTTACATGCAACATACATTATTTGCATAAAAGCAAAGAAGTGACCTCCTGTTCTTGTTTGTGATTGGCTGCTCCAGGCTGTTTCGGCCTGAAACCCGATAAGCTTCTACTGTACCTGCATTATGGCCACTCCCAGTTTATACACAAACACTATTGTGTGGTTCTCTCTGTCCTGCCGAACCTGCCTTGGGTGACCACCTTTCATTTCCCTCTCCTCTAACCAAACACGTAGGAGAAAATGGCAGGAACGAATATCTCGGTGGATAAGGACCAGTTCTGTTGCTCAGTGTGCTTGGAAGTGCTGTGGGAGCCAGTCACGATTCCTTGCGGACACAGTTATTGCATGGAGTGCATTAAAGGTTACTGGAGGAAATGTGAATTGAAAGCGGAATTCAGCTGCCCTCAGTGCAGACGCACCTTTAGCCCCAGACCTGCGCTGTCTAGAAACACCATACTGGCTGATATCGTGGAGAAACTGAGGAGAACCGGCATTCAAGATGCTGGTGGGAAAGCAGCAGATGTCGAATGTGACGTTTGCAACGGGAAGAAACATCGAGCTGTTAGGTTCTGTATGAAATGTCAGATGTTTTACTGTGAGATGCACCTGAAAACCCACAATGAAAGGAATCGTGGCAGGATGCATCCGCTTACTGAAGTTACAAAACAACTGCAGAAAAGAATCTGTTCATGTCACAATAAATTGCGGGATGTTTACTGTCGCACAGACCAACAAAGCATTTGTAGTTTGTGCTTCAAAGATGGACACAAGGGGCACAGCGTGGTGTCAGTGATGGAGGAGAGGATGGAAATACAGGTAACGAATACTGTAGAGAAATCTGTGAATTGAACAAAGTAGAAATTCTCACATGCATGGTTTTCAAACAGAAACATCTTGAGGAAGCGTGGAAAAAGTCAAAACTGAGGTGTAAGGAACGAGAAAAGGAACTCAGAGACATTGTAAAATACGTCAAGGTAGGTCTACTGTCACTGTGTAGAAAGCATCATGAAATGAGTTGAAATAAATGACAGATTTCTTATTTTTTTGGGTGGAACACATCTGTGATTCTGCTTTGCTAACTTTCTGGTGTTAGACTGAAAAATGTAGCGTCTTTAATTTTTACTTCAACAGAATAGTATAAAACTTTGCTACGCGAGCACAAAAAAACTATTGTACATGACCGGAATAGGCTAAATAGTCTTTAAAAAAAAAGAAGTCACATTTGTACTGATCACGGTATAAAATGACCACCATGAATGGGAAATATGAAAAATACAAAAAGTGAGCATATTTGTACAATCTAAAAATCAGCCATGATGCAAGGAAAAAAGCACACAGCTATGAAGGGGTTGAACTCTAAAACATCAAGAGTGCAAAATAACTGGTGTGACTGTAACACGGAGTAAACTTTCGCAAATTTACACATCAAATCAGCATTTTATCAAAACTGCGGCAAAAAGTAGTTATTGATCATGTATAAATACATATCCAAAAGCAAAGCCTAATAAAATGCAATAATTAATTTACTTAATCAAAAAGTTATTTTGATATTCAGTTTTGTATATATATATATATATATATATATAAATTTGGATACATATAAATTGCCGTTACACCCGAACAATAAAGACATTTTTAAGTTTTGTGTCTTACAGTGCACTGTAGATAAATATCACCTCATCCAGCGCCATTTTTGTTTTCTGTTGTATCAAGTAACCCGTTACGGTGTGAGAAACCGCTGCAAACGATTCTTTGTGTGAGAGAACGTTTTTGAATTAATCAAACCGAATCACAAACTAGTTTTTGCAAACAGACTTATGCAGAGTTCACACTGCACGATTTTCAAACTCGTTTGATCGCCGTTGTTTTCACACTGCGTAACTATCTGGGGTAGCATTCAGTTGCTGCTGTGTTCACATTGCACGATGTATCGGCGACACGGGGTTTCACACTGCATGACTTCACAATAGGAAGAATCGCTGAT